ATTGGCCAAGAATGCCCAGAATTTTAAGCCGGCTCCCCCGACCAACACCCAGAACTTTGCCACATACAGAGAAGGCTACAACGTTTACGGAACCGAAAGTGTTAAGATCTAGAGGTAAGTCGTCCTCCTCGCTGTCCACCGGTGTCGCTACAACGGCAAATCTGGGAAAATAATTAGCTTAAAACATTTTTTCAGGCCTCTTAGCAACTTTCTAACATACTATAGCTATACATATATTGTGGATAATAAATAAACAAACAAAACATTTAAGAAAGGGGTTTTCTCGCGTTTTTCTGAAAACCTCAGCCAATAACACGGCTCGATCCAAAGCCAACTTTGGACCATTCGGTTGAGTTGACTGCCTCACCGAATTACCACACTTCCCTGGGTCCGCCACTATTTAAATGCTCGTACTTTTTGCATTAGGCCACTGGTGTGAGAGGGTCAATAATATCAGAAAAAGACAAACAGCCGGCTGCTACTACTTCAAATTTTTGACAAACTACCCAAAGTCCCAAAAGAAAGAACACCATCTGAAGATGCAGGCCACACAAGAACATAGTGGACATAGAAATCGGTGCTCTCTCATTTACTCTGGTAATCCAGGTTCTGGTTTCAGGTAGATGTGGCCTAATGATTTAAAAACTAGCTTGATTTGCAGATTTGTTGTTTGAAAAAGAATAGTCACAATAGCAACATGCAAAAGTCTTGTTAAAAGAAAGTTTCTCAAAATACGTGTTTAACATCTCATAGTAATGAAAAAGGTAAGGTTAAAATGGTTCTAAGTTGTGGCTTTTTACTCAGAATGAATGAGGCAGCAGTTGTTCCAGTTCTCGATGTTTAACTTTTAGGAAGTACAGCAGCAGCAATGCCACAACAACAGGAGGAAACCATCAAAAAATGGTGCATGAATCAATCAATTACACCTGCTAACTCTCTGCTCTGCCACACACACCCCACTGCCGAGGCAGCAGAATGACTGCTCTTCAAACTGAAAGGTTGTGTTTAATTGAAGCAGGCACTAAGGCAGTGTTTCAACTACCATGGTGGAGGTTAAAAGTAGAGGGTATTTGTAACCTCCCCCTCGCCAGATGGTATGTTCTAACGTTCCCCTTGGGCGGCAAATACGAAAATTCACAGTCAGAATGCATGGGAAACAAACGCTTGATCACAGTGAGAGTAACGTTTTAGGTAGCAAGAGGGTTAAGGTTAGGATGAGGGAGAGGGGAAGGTTATAAATAGTGAAACGTTAAGGTTTAGGTGCGGTTAAACGAGCTGGTTCTGTGCCGCATCAGCGGATATCTCATCACGTCAGTTTTACGCTGCACTGGGATCTGCAGTTGCAAAAGGGAAAAACCCCTTTTCACACATAAGTAACGAAAAAGGGCGCTTTTGGCGTCAGGGGTCTGACGTGGAGGGTGGCTGACCAAGCCTTTGTTTTTGACGCGCTGGGAATGAGAATGTGTTGTATATTCAGTAAAGACCCCACCCCCCACCCTCCACCCCACCCCACCCCCGCAGGAACATGCTCGAGAGTGTGGGGGTGGGGTTATGTTGTCAGCAGTGGTGGTATTGAATCTTTCAACTGTGGACCTTTGCAAGGAAGTTCAAGATCTCAAACTGGCTCCAGGTGAAAACATTGTATCGTTTGATGGCATGTCACTCTTCACGTGTATACCCAGAGTTGAAGCCGTGGAAGCAGTTGGGGAATGTCTGGAACAAGATGATTCCTAAAACGAGAGTACAAAACTAACTCCAGACCCAACACATTCTCACACCCAAAGAGTCAAAATATGACGAGTGTGACCAAGCCTCAATATATGACGATTCGAGATGCCCCAGCGCGTCAGTAGACGATGATCAGGGACACGCGGCTCCGCTGGCGTCAGTGTTTGACGCCCGCGGTCACACGGACATTATTCGACTATTTAACCTTCCCCTCACCCCATTCCTAACCTTAAGGTCAGTAACTGTGACCTTAAGGTTAGGGGAAGGTTAAGTAGTTCACAAGTCGTTCTAATGTCCGTCTCACCACCGGCGTCGGATACCGACGCTCTGGGACGTTGCGTCATCAGTGTGTCCCTGATCGTCATCCCCTGACGCGCTGGGGCATCCCGAATTGTCATATATTGACGCTTGGTCACACGTGTCATATATTGACACTTTGGGTGTGAGAATGTGTTGCCAGACCAGATCTGTACCCTCCTTTCTACCACATATTTCAAACACAACTAGTTTTACCGGCTAAAACATGGATGAGCCATGGGCTCCCCAGTAGAACCTTTTGTCATCATCATCTACTTGGAGGAAGTAGAAACCAGACTCCTACAATGGAACAACACCTAACCACTGGTTCAGGTATGTGGACGACACATGGGTCAAAATTCTCACAAAGGAAGTAGAAGACTTCACCAAGCACATTAATGCCGTGGACAAGAACGTCAAGTTCACCAGAGAAGATGCTCACAACAACCAACTGCCCTTCCTGGGCTGTGCTGGGCAAGTTGAACAAGATGAAAGTCTCAGCATTGAAGTCCACTCACACAGACTCACATCACCCACTGGAGCACAAAATGTCAGTCAGCAGACATTTACACCATCGGGCCGAGAACATTACCACAAAGATTGAAGGAAAGAAAAAGGAAGAGAAGCACATCAGGAAAGCTCTCCAAAACTTCAGATGCCCTAACTGGACCTTTGTGAAATCTACAAAGAAATCTGGAAAATAAGCAGCAACCAGCAAAGAAAAGAACAACAGGCGCAAAGGCACCGTCACCCCATACGTGGCAGGAGTCTCAGGGAAACTGAGAATCTTCTCCAAACACAACATCCGGAAATTGTTCCATCCTAACAGAAACTGGTCCATCCAAAAGCCAAAACACCCAAACAGAAGCTCAGTGGCGTTGTTTATGCAGTCCAGTGTAGTGAGGACTGTCCAGATCTTTACATTGGGGAAACTTCACCACAATTACACAAGAGCACGACACAACGCAGGAGAGCCATCTCTTCAGTTCAAGACTCTGCAGTCCAGCTTCCAGCTACACCTGAAGGACAAGGGACACACCTGTGAAGATGACAAAGTACACATTCTAGACGGAGAAGATAGATGGTTTGAGAGAGGAGTAAAATAAGACATCTATGTCAAGCATGAATATCCTACTTTAAAAAGGAGAGGAAGCCTCAGGTTTCACCTTTCCTGTACCTAATGCAGCTTTGAATCTCATTCCTAAGCAGTTTCAGTCTAGGTCATATCCTCCTGCATCTAATCAACACAACTCTGACACAACAGAGGCTAATGACAACAACGACTCATCGGGGTAGAGAGGAGGGTTCTTCATTGGTAGTTTCTGCTCATTGAGCAACAATAGACAGTTACAGCTTATAAGCTTGACTCTCCCATATTCCAGTCAGAATAGACAAAGCTCCTCGGACAAGAAGCGAAACGTCTTCAAGAAACAAAAGAAGTCAGTCGCCTTCATTTGAACCCCATTTGGATTATTTTGCTGCTAAACTTAAACATCCCTCAACTGGGGGACCATCAGGCCTAAAGGGTTAAATATGTTAAACATTTTTTTTTGTAATTAATAATCATTATTAATGTGTAAAAATCCCACCCCGAATTTGAATGCAAATTAGTAAGATACAGGTCCTAAAATACTGGACTTCAGAACGCTCGCCCGATAGACTACAAGCCGCAGTTTGCAGTCTACAGCTCAGAATTTCCAGAACCCACCTAAACGGAAACTCCTCCCTCTCGCTTTACCTTCTCTTGTTGTAATGCATCAGAGAGACACACACTTATGCATGTTTGTTGCTTCTTCACATACATGTTCTCCAACAAGAACAAACCCAGATTCTAAACACAACATGCAACAATTCCCTGAAATAAAATTTGCAAAGAGAATGGCTGTGGCTTCACTTCTTGATTGGCTGCTCTGAACTAAATAAGCTGCAGTTTGTCACATAGAGTGGTGAGAGTGTCCAGAGGGCAGTTTGATCGATGAATCATAATCCAATCCAGAACAGGACCTTAACAATGATTGGATGAAGTTTTTCCAGGTTTGTACGTTTCAGATAGCCTAGAAATCTAGAAAAACCACAGCAGCACCTAAGGATTTTGCTCTGCAGTTCAGTCTAGCCACACCCCATAGAAGCTTCAGCAGCTTTTGTATTGTCATTCTGTGTTTTTTGTCTGAATGCATTCGTGTTTTTTTAAACACAGGAAAGTGTTTTTTTTTTTTTGAGCAGCTAGCTCTGATGAAGATCGCAGGACTGATCGAACCTCTCAGCAAGGTTAAAAACCTTTCCAGTGTTTAAAAAATGAACTTAAAAATGTGTTCAGAAGCTTCAGCAGCTCTACCACTGGCCCAAGCAATATTAGGTGTGTTTAAGCAGTGCTTTATGTATGTAGAGAGAAGGTGGGCTTAGCGTCAGAACTGTGGTGAAGGAAAACTACAAATATGGTGTCCTCTGGGCAATGACACTCGCTTGAAATGGCTTTGGCATCAACTTTAGACAATTTAGACTAATGATCAGATCACACCAGACGCGGAAGTGCGACGATGCACCGCAAAGCGCCATGGAACAACGAGCGCTGCTAATCGGCGCCCTTGTTAACCGACGCTCTCGGTTACATCAGCTGCAAAGCGCCACGAAGGCTCGCACCATGTAGCGATCGTTTCGGTGTGAGCTCTAATTTTTTCGTGAGCCACGTCAATTTTGGCAGGAAGTCAAACCAAAACAGAAGAGGCAGGCCGGTACATTTTACAAAATAAATGTTTCAAAATAAAACACTGCAACTGATAAATGTGATCATTTCTGTGTATCTAAACAGACTAGAGAGATGAAAATGGACAAAGACACAAACACACACACACACACACACACACTCCTGCAGAGAAACATAGCGTTTCCATAACTTTAAATGAAGTTTTTACAGCAAAAGATGGATTTAATAAATGTGAATGAAACAAATACTTTTATTTCAAAGGTAACTATAC